TCTCTCTGTCATTTGCTGTCTGTCCCAAACTCCCTGGGCTGGGCCATCTAGCTCCTGCTCAGAGAGAGCCCAAGAAAGTGTCCTCAAGTTTACTCCACACTTTTTAAACAATATAGACTTTTCTGGGTTTCTTGGTTATCCTAGGAAAATTTTCACTATGTAACTTGTATTTATGTGACCCGTGAGGGCAAAATAGCAACAGATAAAAGGAGACAATTTTAAAGATATAGAAAGAAGGGGGAAAGGTTTTTTAGTAAAGGGAAAAGGGGGAACAGCATCCCCCCCCCCCTTGTTCTGGAAGGCGGTAGGGGAGTGACTAATGAACAATATTTTCACTTTGAAAAAGCTGGGCCCACTTTTTGACTCAAACAATTTTTTAAGCCAACCCCGGCACACAAACAAGGAGGAGGAGGAGGGGGGGAGGGGGGAGAGGGAAAGGAGGAGGGTGAGGAGGAGGGGGAGGAGGAAAAAGGAGGGGGGAGGAGGAGGAGAAGGGGAGGAGGGGGAGGAGGAGGAGGAGGAGGAGGGGGAGAGGAGGAGGAGGAAAGGGGAGGAGGAGGAGGGGGAGGGAGGAGGAGGAGGAAAAAGGGGGAAAAGGGGGAGGAGGAAAGGGGGAGGAAAAGGGGGAGGGGGAAGAAAGGGGGATAAGGGGGAGGGGGGAGGAAAAAAGGGGGGAAAAGGGGGAGGAAAAAGGGGGGAAAAAAGGGGAGGAGGAAAAAGGGGGGGAGGGAGGGGAGGGAAGAGGAGGGCCCCTTTTTCCCTCCCCTGGGCCTCCCCCCGGCCGGCCCCTCTTTGGCCGGGCCCCGGCCCCCCCTTTTTCCCCCTTCCTTTTCCCCTCGTCTTTTTCCCCTTTTCTTTCCTCCCTTTTTTTCTTCCCTCCTTTTCTCCCCCTTTTTCTTCTTCCCTTTTTCTTTTTCCCCCTTGTCTTTTCCCCCTTTTCTTTCCCCCTTCTTCTTTTCCTTTTTTCTTTTTCTTCCCTTTCTTCTTCGCCCCTTTTTCTTCTCCTTTTTTCTCTTTTTCTTTTGCCCCCCCCCAAAGGTGGGGGGGTTTTGGGGGGAAAAAAAAAGGGGGAAAAAAAATTTAAGGAAAAAAGGGAGGAAAAGAAAAAAGGGGAAAAAAAAGGGGAAAGGAAAAAAGGGGGGGGGAAAAGGGGACCCAAGGGGGAGGGGGGGGGGAAAAAAAAGGGGGGGGGGGGGGGGGGGAAAAAAAAAAGGGGGGGGAAAAAAAAAAGGGGAGAGGGGGGGAGGGGGGGGGGGGGGGGGGGGGGGGGAAGGGAGGGGAAAAAAAGGGGGAAAAAAGGGGGAAGGGGGGGGGAAGAGGAGGGAGAAAGGGGGGGGAAGAAAGGAGGGGGGGAAAAAAGGGGGAAAAAGGGGGGGGGGGGGGGAAAGGAGAGGAGGGGGGGAAAAGGGAAAAGGGGGAGGAGGGGAAGAAGGGGGTAAAGGAGGGGAAAAAAAAGGGGGGGAAGAGAGGGAAAAGAAGGGGAAAAAAAGGGAGGGGAAAAGGGGGGAAAAGGAAAAGAAAGGGGAGGGAGGGGGGGGGGGAAAAAGGGGGGGGGGGGGGGGGGGGGGGAAAAGGGGAAAAAAAGGGGGGTTTTTTAAAAAAAGGGAAAAGGGGGGGGGGGGGGGGGGGGGGGGGGGGGGGGGGAAAAAAGGGGGGGGGGGGGGGGGGGGGGGGGGGGGGGGGGGGGGGGGGGGGGGGGGGGGGGGCCCTTTGGGAAGGGGAAAAAAAAAAAAAAAAAAAAAAAAAAAAAAAAAATTTTTTTCAAAAAAAAAAAATTTTAAAAAAAACCCCTTTTTTTTTTTAAAAAAAAATTTTTTTTGGAAAAAAAAACCCCAACCCAAAAAAAACCCCCAAAAAAATTTTTGGGGAAAAAAAACCCCAAACTCAAAAAAAAACCCCTTTCCCAAAGAAAAAAAATTTTTTTTTTAAAAAAAAAAAAAAAATTTTTTAAAAAAAAATTTTTTTTTAAATTAAAACAAGGGGGGGTTTTAAAGGGGGGAAAAAGAAAGGGTTTAAAAAGATGGGATTTAAAAGGAATTATTAGGAGACGAAATTTTTGAAAATTTTAAATTAAGGAAAAAAAAAGGAAAATTTCAAAATTTTGGAACATTTGCCAATTTTTAATGGAAAGGAAAGGGGGTTTATAAATCAAAGAAGGGGCAAAAAAGGAGGAGTAGGTAAACCCCAACCTTTAAAATCGATGGGTTGCCCCTTTTTAAATTTCCCAATTTAAGGGAAAAATTTTCCCCCCAAAAAATTTTTTAAAAAACTTTTTAGGAGGAAGAAGAGAAAGAAGGGGTGGGGGTACAGGGGTTTAATAGAAAGAGGGAAAAACCCTAAAAAGGGGGATCATGACAGAAATGTTAAAAGCAGGGGGAATAGTGTTGAGTGGTTGGTACTTTTGTTTAAAAATTATGAAAGAGGGAAGGACCTAGGGGTTGGCGGAGAGCATTTTTTAAATCCCTTTAAAAAAGGGAAAGGGGGCAAAAGAAACTGTAAAAAATTTTAGAGGAATAACTTACGAAAACCGGAAAAGTGTCGGAGGGTTATAATTTAAAGAATTTGAGGAAACAGAATGTAGGATTTGGGGTGAGCAAGGGTTTTTCCCGAGTGGGGAGATAATGTTTACATTGAAGCTTATGTGAACATATTTAATAAAGGTAGGGAAAATTTTTATTGCATTAGATTTTTGAAAAGCATATGATAGAGTGGATAGAGGACAATGTGGCAATGTTTCAAGTATAAGGGGAAAAGGTGGGAAGTTTTAAAAGCTGAAAGAGTTTTTTATAGGGAAAGGGGGTCATTAGGGGGTGTAGAAAGGGGAGACTACTTTCCCGGGAAAAGTAGGTCTTAGACAGGATTTTAATTCACCAAGGTTTTTTTAATATATTTATAATGGGGTTGAAAGAAGTAAATGCTAGGGTGTTTGGGAGAAGGGGGGGATTAAATTTTGGGGAATCAAATTCAAAAGGGAATTGACACAGACTTTTGCTATGATACCGTGCTTAGGGGGGATTCAAAAAAAAAAATTTCAAAAGGGTTTGTGGGTGATTGGGAAGTGTGTAAAGGGAGAAAGTGAAAGTGAACAAAAAAAGATAAGGTGATGAGGGGGGCAAATGTTTAGTAAAAAAAAATTGGGTATCAAATTTGGGGGGGGAGGAGTATGGAAGAATGAAAGTTTTTAATACTGGGGGGTTTGACTTCGGGAGGATTTTGAAAGGGTGAGGGTTTAAACATAAATTGATGAGGGAAAAAAGGTGAGTGGTTTTCTTTTAGGTATAGTGGATCAAAAAACTTTTCATGGAGGCAAAGGGGGGAATGAAAAAATATAGTAGTACCAAAACTCTTAATGGTGTGAACTTGGGTGGTAAATCAGCAGGGGAGGGGATGGTTGGAGGGATGGGGGATGTCCTTTTTAAAGGGGAATGTGTGGTGTAAATATTATGCAAAAATTCGAGTGGAAATTTGGGAAAATGTGGAGTTAATAAAAGTATAGTCAGGGCAGAAGAGGGGGTTTTTGAGGGGTTTGGGGCATTTAAGGGGGAATGAAACAAAAAGGGAAAGACAAAGGGAACAATAAACTATAGGGGAAGGAAGGGGGGTAGGGGGCGTCCTCGAAAGGGTGGAGAAGGGGGGAAAGGAGGGTTTTTTGGGCACGGGTTGGGCTTCCACAAGCGGCTGAGCGTGTTTTAAAAGGAGTGAAAAGGAGACGAAGGATTGGGACCTGACATCTGTTGGGTGTGAGCAGGGGAATATTTTTGAAGGGATTCAGGGGAAAACCCGGGTTATTTTCATATATCGGGGCTTTAGTCCTGGAAAGGGAAGTACAAGCCTGCACTTTTAAAAAGGGGTTTGGGGTATTGGCAGTTTGGAGGATATGTTGTTATCTTTTTTAAATTTTATGCTTCTAGCTGTTTATTCTGACACCTCGCAAAAACAGTGATAAGTCGAGGTGGTGAAAGTGTTTAAGATGATGAAAATATTTTCATTTGGGGGTTTTTTTTTTTTTTTTGGGGCACCCCCCCCTCGGTGGGGGACGGGCCGCTTGTTGAAAAAAAAAAAAAAAATAATAATAATAATAAAAATTCATCTTTATTTTTTACAAACACATGGAACCCCCGGTTGCTTATGCCCTAGCTGTATATAAACTATAATAATTCCTATAAAATAATTTTTTTTTTTGTTAATCTTTCCCATAGGAAATAATGTACTTTCGCTTTTCATTTTGGGCCACCCCACCTCGGTGGGATACGGCCGGTGTGTTGAAAGAAAAAGGAAATAATGTAAATCCAATTAATCCGTTCCAGACACCCAAAAATATTAACAAAAAATAGATTTTATAGATGGCCGACTTGTTGAAAAAAAAAAAAACTATAGTTTTACATACAGACTAGGGCATACAAAAACTGAGGCTCCCCTGGACATGATATAACTTATACAGACCTAGTTGACATCAATGATATATATGTACTATATAAAAAGCCCCTGGTTATGCAGAGTATTTCAGACACCTTAAGGTAACATTGTCCCTAGGATGCAACCCACCCCATTCTGGTAACACCCAGGTAACTACTTACTGCTAGGTGAACAAGGACAGCAAGTGTCTTAAGGAAACATATCCAATGTTTCCACCTGTACTGGAGATCGAACCACAGACTCCCCTATGTGAGCGAAGTGTGCTACCAACTGAGCTACAGGACAGCCTCACTCTCAACAAATTACATATTCAGATGATTCTGCCCCTCCTTCCTTCCCAGCATCACCTTATACCATCAAGTATTCATGTACATAATCTACTGAGTTTTCTAAGTACAGTATATAATTTTTCCTCATAGGTTACAGGGTCTTGGAGAAAAATGTTCAGGTATATTCTGTATGTGATTCTGCTACAAAAAATTGTTACTGGTATTGTAAAATACATCATACCCTTAGGTGGGGTATGTCTGTTCTATAAGGCACAATGCATTAATTCATAAATGTGAAATCTAATAAATTCTCACCTGATGCACGATGCCAGAGCCAGGAGGGACAATTAACAAGTTCTTCAGTGCCTGAGCGCCCCATTTGAGAAAGACAAAGCGCTCATAGTTACGCTCAAATTCTATCTCTTGGTTTTTTTGTAATGCACTCGACCTGAAGGAAGATTATTATTTTACTAAAGGCTTTATAACTATATTACATGAGCATGTAAATTCTATTCAAACATATGGGCAATGGTATTGTCAAATATGATCTACGTAAATAATAGTTCACTAAATCAAAAGTGTAAGTGTAATTTATGTAGGATGGCCTAAAATATTTGCTTGGGATTCTACATCTCATCTTACTTGCCACACAAAGAAAGATTTCTACATGAGCAAAATTTTTAACCCTTAAACTGTCCAAATGTAGATCTACGTTTTTTCAACATTTGAAAGTATGTAAAAAAATGTAGATCAAAATGTAGATCACATATTCAATATATTAACCCAGTTTAAGGGTTAATATCATAAAGCAATGGAAAAGGGGATGGTGTGAAGAGACACCAATAAAATAAGATATGAATTAGAAGGAAAAGTGACAATGAAATGATCCTCTAAGTTTGAGGATGCAAGAATAAAGCCGTCACACACTAATTAAAGAGTTACACATTATGTTTTCACCATTACAAGACTCATGCAAACCCCTATTCTCCTAAAATATCTACATAAATATGCACGCTTGTGCAAGCCAATAATTTTAGTCTTAGCTTTACATCAATATTATTGTAAATGAAATAACTACATGTGCTAAAATAGTATTTTCACTGTGCCAAATAGCCATCTAATGAAATGGCTACCCACATTCCTATTTGTATTAACAACAACATTTAAGTCTTCAAGTCCTATTATAAAACAAAACAAGCTGTCTTACTCGTTAATTTTTTTTAGCTTTTTTGTGTAAAGTGCATTCAGAAATCCTATTCATGTCACTTTTTTGAAGCTATAAATACAATATCTCATCATGATAAATCTTGTTTTGTCATCATTTCATAAAAAATTTGTTCACATCTGCTTGGTGGGAAATTAAAGAGTTTCACTAAAAATATAAATCAACCAATCTCTCTGCGACAATAATTTCTATAATACAGCATATATTCTTATATTTTGTGTTCAGTACATACTGTGCATAAAATGAATCACAGTAGAAATATTTTAGATTATTAAGAATACAGTACGTATTTCAATCCAATATATGAATTATAAACTAATATAAATAAATACACGTTTATTTATACACACTCATTTGAGTTTTCTTTGATTTTATCTTAGTTCTTGTTCTAATTACTTTTCCTTTTATATCCATGGGGAAGTGGAATAAGAATCTTTCCTCCGTAAGCCACGCGTGTTGTAAGTCAACTAAAATGCCGGGAACAATGGGCTAGTAACCCCTTTTCCTGTAATAATTACTAAAAAGAATAAGAGTATTTTCTTTTTGAGGATTTTCTTTCTCTTTGGGTCACCCTGCCTCGGTGGGAGACGGCCGACTTGTTGAAAAAAAAAATGAAATTTTTAATATAGTATGCTCGTTAATTCCACAACTGTAATTCGTTTTCTATAACTTGAGATTCAAAATCTCATTCCAAAGTTAGTCACAGGAAAGCAACACAACAGCAATATGCAAAATACCCATTTGACGCACAGCAGGATACTTTCCCCTCCATGCTCGTTTTATTGGAAGGCCTAGTTTATTTATTTATTTATTTTATTTATTTAGCAATTTTAGCATACATAGAGAGGTACAAAAAAATACAGGTAAGAGCAGCATGCCAAAGCCACTTATATGCATAGCATTACGGGCTGGCTTAAAATTAACTTAAGATTAACTAAGCAATGATGAAATCAGTGATAAAACATTATTGTAAACAGATAACTATAAAGCACAAATGAGTATTACAAAGACAGGTCATATGGTTGCATGCATTGCTGTACATTCAGTCGAATGGAGTATTCTGTTAGGTAGTGTATTTAAAAAATAATAAAGTTAGATTGGGTCCTAGGTTTAACATTTGTGTGATATAATTGTGAGTAACATTTAGGATATACAATTTATAAGGTTCAGTTATTCAGTATATTATTTGGTTTGAGTGGTAAGTGATCTTTGAGAAAGACTTGAATTTATAAACAGGTAGTGTTTCTTTTATATTACAGTAATGAATTCCAGATTTTAGGGCCTTTTATGTGCATTGAGTTTTTGCATAGCGTGAGATGGACAAGAGGAACATCAAAGAGTGATCTGTGCCTTGTGTTATGGTCATGTTTTCTGTTGAGGTTGGCAAGAGATGTTTTAGGGGAGGGTTAATATCCGAGTTAAGTGTTCTATGTATGTAATAGGTGCAGTAATAAGTATGGATGTTTTGTATGGTGAGTAGGTTGAGTGTTTTGAATATTGGTGGAGTGTGCTGCCTGTAGTGAGAATTTGTTATCATTCTAACTGCAGCCTTTTGTTGGGTAATTAGTGGTCTGAGATGGTTAATTGTTGTTGAGCCCCATGCACAAATTCCATAGGTGAGATAGGGGTAAATAAGAGAGTGATAAAGGGCCAGGAGGGCTGACTGTGGAACATAGTATCACTCCTTGATGTAAACACCTGCCCATGCTGTGTTGCCTTCTGGACACGTCCTATACCATACTCTCATATTTATCAGTTAATTTTCATTTTTTTCATTGCCAAGCTCTGACTTTGGATATTAACTAAGGCATCCATAAAAGAATAGCAGTGATGTTGAAGGTGCCAAGAAAATAAATCATGAGACTATATCCAGTGTCAATGCCACAGATAATTCGGTAAATGAAAGAAGGGGGTAAGGCTATGAAAGAGAGAATGATCAACAAAGTCAGGCATGGGTGGTAGCAATAATGAGGTGAATAAGAACTGATGGCTGGGGGAATGTAACACAGGATTTGGATCCCAGAGAAAGATCTAATCTAGAGCTAGGGTGGGAAGGGGAAGCTTTAGTTGTTATTTAAAGAGGCAGATCAGATGCATGAGGGCTATATGGTTTTTATATGCTGATTGTTATAGCAGCATTTGGTGAATGCTACTACAGGAGAAGGCTGTCAGAACTGAGGGAAGAATCAGAGTCTGCCAGGGGTTTAGAAGTGCATGTCAGCTCCTATAAATAAAAATATATTTATTTTCCACAGCACATTTGTAATACAGATTGTTTTACACTAGTTTCTTACATGGAAAAGCCTACAGTTAGGCGAAACATTTTCAGCAGACAGACTAGAACTTAAAATTACATGACATTGATTAGCTAAATGTAGATAAGTGACAGATGAGTTTAAACATAATTTGGTTGTTTAAAAATAAAATGATCAAAGACAATGCTTGTTCTGAAGAACAAAACTATTTAAAACAGCAATGTTAATATGGATAACAGTAACACAAAACAGCATTTATAAATTGAGCAACAGAATTTTTGGGGGTTAGAAATAAATACGAGACCAGAAGCACACAAGCATAATTGCTGACTGGAATTAGGTAGGCAAACTACATTCGATATATTTGGCTTTTATTCAATCTTCATAAATTTCATCAAGTTCAGAAAGTGTTTCTTGACAATATTTTGAAACAGCTGGAATATAATGAACTGTCAGAATCTTTTGCTAGAGTTCAAAATCTTTAGGGTTTTTATATGCGTTTCTACTTAGATGGAGTCAGACACGTGGAATATCAAAAGAAGTACGTATATGGCTCTTGCCTTGTGTCAATCCATTCCATTGCAGCTATTTAACACAAACTGTATATGACATACTAGTACACAGGAAACCAGGCTGTATTCAATGAACAAAATACGTAAAAAAATTTTTGCTTCAAATTGGCCAAGAACTGCCATTATAGTGCTCATTTCTACTGTTTGGGTTACCTACCATCTCCTCATTCTGAGAAACAATCTAGGATCAGGCAGGTCCATGCAGTGCATCATGGGAAACAGTTTCAGAGGCACATGCATACAATGCATCCATGACTTTCCACTATCAGCTTCCTTCCTAGCAAATAGGTTGTGAAACTGGCAGAGGGATACCTTATTTGTTCCAGATTTATTACAGTTTCTTGATACATAGTGAAACTGTTAGAAAAATCTGTACTGTACACAGATTTTTATCCTAGGATAACCAAAATAAAGTTAAACAATATGATGTGCAATATTGTCATGTTCTCAGGACTATCACACCTTGAAAGGTTAAAAAGGGTTAGGAAACTGCAGGAAAATACCTTATTTATTCTTAATTCATGACAATTTTATGATACTAACTGTGGGATTTAGCTTAGGATAAACTAAGAAAATTACGAAATGAAAGACTAGATATTAGATTGGAAGGAGAGAGTAAGGAGGAAGTGAACCACAGAAATGAAGAAGAGAACAAAGTGGGTGGTGCACTGAGGCATCTGTGGAGACAAAGAATGTTATCCATGGAAGCAAAGAGGGGGATTGTTTGAGAAAATAAGCCATACCAACACACTTACATGGGTGTGAAGCACGTGTAAATATGCCAATGTGAACAGTGACAGAGGAATAATATAGGAGTGGAGGTTCTGATGAGAAAATAAACAACTCAAAGTCCAGATTCTAAAGTAATGGAAGACTTGCAAACAGAGGAGTCAGTCTAAGTGTTGACAAGGTTTGACTCATTAGTATTTAGATGTAAGAAGATAAAAGTGGTGAAGGGAGAGTGATGAGAGGAGAAAACCTCTTTACAGGCCACCAGAGGACTTGGATTCTTTATTTTGTACATTAATATACCAATTTTTATTATATAGGCAACAATTTCACACTCTCCAGATTAGAAAAATATATAAAACACAAGTGTTTGTAAACTGATGATTCAAGAGTTGCTTCTTTCACTGTGTTGTCTGGTCAGGTTACTATGATGCTCATGTAAACAGGCTAGTAGTTGCACTATCTTCTAATATTTCAAATAACTAGTGCTACTATAGGTAGTAGGTTGGTAGACAGCAACCACCCAGGGAGGTACTACCGTTTTGCCAAGTGAGTGTAAAACGAAAGCCTGTAATTGTTTTACATGATAGGATTGTTGGTGTCCTTTTTTCTCTCTCATAAACATGCAAGGTTTCAGGTACATCTTGCTACTTCTACTTACACTTAGGTCACACTACACGTACATGTACAAGCAAATATGTACACACCCCTTTGGGTTTTCTTCTATTTTCTTTCTAGTTCTTGTTCTTGTTTATTTCCTCTTATCTCCATGGGGAAGTGGAACAGAATTCTTCCTCCGTAAGCCATGCGTGTTGTAAGAGGCAACTAAAATGCAAGGGGCAAGGGACTAGTAACCCTTTCTCCTGTATATATTACTAAATGTAAAAGGAGAAACTTTCGTTTTTCCTTTTGGGCCACCCTGCCTCGGTGGGATACGGCTGGTGTGTTGAAAGAAAGAAAGAACTAGTGCTAATATGTGATTTTCTGTTGTCATCTACCGTACTTATAATTAGCCTTTATTGGGTCTCTAACCCTCTATTATCAACAAGAGCCTTTAATGATTCTCTTGTATCTTGCTTATTAAATAATGGCAGCATGCCCATATGCATATCCATAAATGTGTGCATGTTTAACCCGTAAACGATCCAAGCAGATCTACGTTCACATGTGTAGTGCTCCAAAAGTAGATCTAAGTTTTTTTTAAATATTTTCAAACAAAAAAAAAAAAACGTAGATCAAAGTTTTTTACATGCTTTCAAATGTAAAAAAAAAAAAGATCTACTTTTTTTACATACTATCAAATGCTGAAAAAATGTATATATACGTTTGGACCGTTTACGGGTTAAGGATCAGTCAACAGAGACCATGGATCTTATTGGCATTCCAAGAGACAATGTTGCTAACATTAAGCAAGCATGCTTCAAAATTTGCTCCAATATAGATGGCTATAAACAATATAACAAACTGAGGCTCAGAACTGTATTGCAAACTAAGGAGTAAACTTAATACTAGAAGCTTAGGTGACAAAACTATATTATACACTTAATACCTTAGGAAAAAATTTTGACAATTCTCTTGTTAACAGCAAAAATTTACTGAAAATGAGCAAAACTGCAGCAAGCATGAATAAATGCACATTCATTTTTATATCTACAGAGTGAACAAACTTTACAAAAGGAACACCATTCAAAAGTTCTACTCCTATCTGTTAACCATTTTATTTTACAAAGACAAGAAAATCTTTGGATCCCAGTTGTGTACTGCCGACAACACTGAACAAGACATGTTGCAAAGCAAGCTTTTATTGGGATTTGACAAAAAGCTCAACATGAGGTAAAACGTTGCCTCAAAGGCTTGTTCTGTAATGTTTTTTTCTTCATGAGAAAAACTATTAGTGAATGACGAAGTCCTATTCCTTTTATCATCAATGCATAATCTGGCAAGTGCAGGTCTCGGCACAAATTTAACATTTAAATCAAATGTGCAAAATCAGTATATTAAAACTCAACATTTTGTGTTCCAATCTTAGCACAGTCTTATGCATCAACATTCAACACTGACCAGTCTTTGTACTCTGTCTTAAAATTTGTACGTTGTATTTTGTCTTAAAATTTTAGATACATATTGTATGTTGTCCAAATTATTTAACTTATACAGTACATTAATATTAAATACCAGTGAAAGTGCTAACCAATAAAGCTTTGTCTTAGTATGCAACACGAGAACAAGAGGTGCTAACCATTCAGACTGGCGCTCGTGGAAGGGGCACACTTCGTCTTGAATGGGTATCCCAGGAACGTCAAGAGGCGAAGGCAATGATGACACTGAGAGTCTTAACGAAGGAGTTGCTGAAGTATCAGTCCTGGTACTAGATGTATCAGATACACTTACAGCAGAATTATCACATTCTTGCTTCCTTAAAGTGAAAGGTCTTTGTCTTAAACCAGGGAATCCTCTTGGTCTAAGTGAAATGTCTTCTATATCTACACTACGATGACTCTCAGAGTCAGGGAGTTGGCACTGATCTGGAGTGGTAGGCCGACTACCAGGTCTACTACTCTGATGCATGTATGGAGAACCCATGTAGTAGCTTACAGGGCGCTGTATTCTATTTATCTGGGCAGGATGTGGGGTAGGGTACACGGGAAGATTATAACCAGGAACTACAGTTGTACACGGAATAGCTTGTTGCTGATAACTGAGAGTATTCCCTAATGCTTCACCCAAAGTCAAATGTGTCACCATGGCAGGAAGTTGGTGAGAAGTTGTAGAAGCAGCAGGCTGGAACTGCCATGGTTGCTGCACTCCTACCATCACAGATCCTGACACAGATGCAGTGGGAGGCATAAGGTACACTTGTTGTGAAAAACTTGCAGGTAGGGAAGAATATACTGAGGGACTGGCTGGCCGAGAATGCACCACAGGGGAACCTGGACGTGACCTTGACCCTTCAGTGTGAGGTCCACGTGAACGATGCAACCTGGAATATGAACGACTACTGGTCCGTCTCTCTGACATGGCAGTTGAAACACAGCCCGGCTGGCCATAGTTCACACAACGACCACAGGACTGACCGGTTAAAGTGCCCCCACCACCAGGGTCGTCCCCTCCACGTCTGCAGGGGAGAGACACTGTCAAGATGCTGCCTCAGCCAAAAGCATCCTTATTCTTAGAACATACACATCCTCTACAAAATGAACATCCGTATTTAGTTCACATTACAAGGGACAAACATTAATGAACTATGCCACGAGCTTGGCTCCAAGGCTTCTAATGTTTACCATCTCTAAATTCAAGAGACCCTAATATTCAAAAGCAAGTATTTTATATTTAAATAAGATACTTGTTATATTTAATCATAATAAAAAAATTCAATTCACAACCTTTCATTAAATGACAACTAAATTCTGAACATGCTGACAGAATAACCACAATATACAACCTTTATCATCTTACCATCAAATATTCAATGTCAAGTAATTTTAAGCTCTGGTTTTAAGTCTTTCCAACTACATGCTTTTCCAATTACTATTTATTTATTTATTTATTTAATTTTAAAATACATTGTTGATGTATATGTTAAAATATAATATATATATATATATATATATATATATATATATATATATATATTATAATATATATATACGTACGTATATATCATATATTTTTTTTTTCAACAAGTCGGCCGTCTCCCACCAAGGCAGGGTGACAAAAAAAGAAAGAAAATCCCCCAAAAGAAAATACTTTCATCATCATTCAACATTTTCACCTCACTCACACATAATCACTGTTTTTGCAGAGGTGCCCAGAATACAACAGTTTAGAAGTATATACGTATAAAAATACACAATACTGTATAGGCATATGACAGAGTGGATAGGGAAGCAATGTGGCAGATGTTGCAAGTATATAGAATATGTGGTAAGTTACTAAATGCTGTAAAGAGTTTTTATGAGGATAGTGAGGCTCAGGTTAGGGTGTGTAGAAGAGAGGGAGACTACTTCCCGGTAAAAGTACGTCTTAGACAGGGATGTGTAATGTCACCATGGTTGTTTAATATATTTATTGATGGGGTTGTAATAGAAGTAAATGCTAGGGCATTTGAGAGAGGGGTGGGATTAAATTATGGGGAATTAAATACAAAATGGGAAGTGATAGTTACTTTTTGCTGATGATACTGTGCTTATGGGAGATTCTAAAGAAAAATTGCAAAGGTTAGTGGACGAATTTGTGTGTGTGTGTAAAGGTAGAAAGTTGAAAGTGAACATAGAAAAGAGTAAGGTGATGAGAGTATCAAATGATTTAGATAAAGAAAAATTGGGTATCAAATTGGGGAGGAGGAGTATGGAAGAAGTGAATGTTTTCAGATATTTTGGAACTGACGTGTCAGCGGATGGATTTATGAAGGATGAGGTTAATCATAGAATTGATGAAGGAAAAAAGGTGAGTGGTGCATTGAGGTATATGTGGAGGCAAAAAATGTTATCTATGGAGGCAAAGAAGGGAATGTATGAAAGTATAGTAGTACCAACACTCTTATATGGGTGTGAAGCTTGGGTTGTAAATGCTGCAGCGAGGAGGTGGTTGGAGGCAGTGGAGATGTCCTGTCTAAGGGCAATGTGTGGTGTAAATATTATGCAGAAAATTCAGAGTGTGGAAATTAGGAGAAGGTGTGGAGTTAATAAAAGTATTAGTCAGAGGGCTGAAGAGAGGTTGTTGAGGTGGTTTGGTCATTTAGAGAGAATGGATCAAAGTAGAATGACATGGAGAGTGTATAAATCTTTAGGGGAAGGAAGGTGGGGTAGGGGTCATCCTCAAAAAGGTTGGAGGGAAGGGGTAAAGGAGGTGTTGTGGGCGAGGGGTTTGGACTTCCAGCAAGCATGCGTGAGCATGTTAGATAGGAGTGAATAGAGACAAATGGTATTTGGGACCTGATGAGCTGTTGGAGTGTGAGCAGGGTAATATTTAGTGAAGGGATTCAGGGAAACCGGTTATTTTATATAACCGGACTTGTGTCCTGGAAATGCGAAGTACAATGCCTGCACTCTAAAGGAGGGGTTTGGGATATTGGCAGTTTGGAGGGACATATTGTATATTTTTTTATACGTATATACAGTGGACCCTCGACCAACGATGGCATCATCTAACGTTAAATCCGACTAGCGATACATTTTAACGCAAAAATTTTTGCCTCAACTAGCGCTAAAAAACTCGACCAACACGATTCGTTCAGTCTGAGACACATCCACTTGTAGCCAGTGTTTACAAGCCAGCCAGCCACCGCGGTCCCATCCAAACATACAATCGGAACATTTCATATTATCACAGCGTTTTTAGTGATTGCACCTGCAAAATAAGTCACCATGGGCCCCAAGAAAGCTTCTAGTGCCAACCCTACAGCAAAAAGGGTGAGAATTACTATGGATATGAAGAAAGAGATCATTGCTAAGTATGAAAGCGGAGTGCGTGTCTCCGAGCTGGCCAGGTTGTACACAAAACCCCAATCAACCATCGCTACTGTAGTGGCCAAGAAAATGGCAATCAAGGAAGCTGTTCTTGCCAAAGGTGCAACTATGTTTTCAAAACTGAGATCGCAAGTGACAGAAGATGTTGAGAGACTGTTATTGGCGTGGATAAACGAATTAATATTTCATGTGGTAAAAAAAAAAAATTTCAATACTTTTGGGTGTCTTGCACGGATTAATTTGATTTCCATTATTTCTTATGGGGAAAATTAACTCGACTAACGATAATTTTGATTAACGATGAGCTCTCAGGAACGGATTAATATCGTTGGTCGAGGGTCCACTGTTCTTCTAAACTGTTGTATTCTGGGCACCTCTGAAAAACAGTGATTATGTGTGAGTGAGGTGAAAGTGTTGAATGATGATGAAAGTATTTTCTTTTTGGGGATTTTTTTTCTTTTTGGGTCACCCTGCCTCGGTGGGAGACAGCAGACTTGTTGAAAAAAAAAATTACATACACGTATTTTATATATTATATATATATATATATATATATATATATATATATATATATATATATATATATATATATATATATATATATATATATATATATATAATATATATATATATATTTTATACATGTATATACACATCCCTCTGGGTTTTCTTCTATTTTCTTTCTAGTTCTTGTTGTTGTTTATTTCCTCTTATCTCCATGGAGAAGTGGAACAGAATTCTTCCTCCGTAAGCCATGCGTGTTGTAAGAGGCGACTAAAATGCCGGGAGCAAGCGGCTAGTAACCCCTTCTCCCGTATAAATTACTAAATTTAAAAAGAGAAACTTTCGTTTTTCTTTTTGGGCCACCCTGCCTTGGTGGGATACGGCCGGTTTGTTGAAAAAAAAAATATATATACAGTGGACCCCCGCATAGCGATATTAATCCGTGCAAGAGAGCTCATTGTTATGCGAAATTATCGTTATGCGAATGAATTTTCCCCATAAGAAATAATGGAAATCAAATTAATCCGTGCAAGACACCCAAAAGTATGAAAAAAAAAAATTTACCACATGAAATATACATTTTCCTACACACAAAGAGGAGGATACATGCACAATAGTAGAGTAGTACATGCACAATATATATTGTGCATGTACTACTCTACTAAATGAAGAATAAATGACACTTACCTTTATTGAAGATGCAGCAATGACTGATGAGACACTGTGTCCTGGGAGTGCCTTTTCCTCCTGAGTACTGTAGGTCCTGTTTGGCATTTTCTTCCAGAACATGCCTTATCACACTGTGTATGCCACTACGATTCTTAAATCTCTCAAACCAACCTTTGCTGGCTTTAAATTCACCAATATGAGCACTAGTTCCAGGAGTTTTTCCCTGTTCACCTGGGTGTTAGTCGACTGGTGTGGGTTGCATCCTGGGAGACAAGATTAAGGACCCCAATGGAAATAAGTTAGACAGTCTTCGATGACACTGACTTTTTTGGGTTATCCTGGGTGGCTAACCCTCTGGGGTTAATTGTTTCTTGGTATTCTCAATAAGCCACACCAACAACGGTGCTACAGCAGCAGCAGCAGCAGCAGCTGAGTGCTACAGCAGCAGCAGCAGCAGCAGACGATGCTACAGCAGCAGCAGCAGCTGACGGTGGTACAGCAGCAGCAGCAGCAGCTGAGTGCTACAGCAGCAGCAGACGATGCTACAGCAGCAGCAGACGGTACTACAGCAGCAGCAGCAGCAGCAGCTGACGGTGATACAGCAGCAGCAGCAGCTGTACCACCAATAGTAGCGATGGTTGATTGGGGTTTATTATACAACCTGGCCAGCTCGGAGACACGCACTCCACTTTCATACTTATCAATGATCTTTTTCTTCATCTCTATAGTAATTCTCACCCTTATTGCTGTAGGGTTGGTACTAGAAGCTTTCTTGGGGCCCATGGTCACTTATTTTGCAGATAAAATCACCAAAAACACTGTAATAATACGAAATGTTCCGATTGTATGCTTGGATGTTACCGCGGAGGCTGGCTGGTAAACAATGCCACCGGCGGAACATGTGAGGCTGGCTAAGGGCGCACATTAGACTCGTCTCGGACGAACAGCGTTGAGCGGGTTTTTTAGCGGTGTGCGAGGCAAAATCTTGGCGATAAAATGTAGCGGTATGCGGATTTAACGTTATGCAAGGCCAACGGTATGCGGGGGTCCACTGTACATATTTATATATATATTTATCACCAATATGCTAATCTCTCCTTAAACACATTCAAACACATCTAATCCATCAAGGCCAGGACTTTTAATGTAAAAGACAATTTTTCAAATTACAGTATACGATGTCAAAGTCTAAAGACCACTGTCAATCTACCACTCCACGTAAATCTATCCTGGTCTTCCTGCAGGCAGTCATTTTTATTTCTTATTTTACATGGCCTTTTTACATCTACAAACATTTGTGTAATTTCTGTTTCTACTGGCAAGTGGTTTATATAAATTAAAAACATTAATGGGGCAAGCACATATCCCTGTGGCACCCCGATCATGACATTACCCCACGAATATATATATTAACTCACATTAGTCTTCTGCATTTTTTTCTTTCAAACAGAAAATTTCTCATCCACTGCAATAG